TGCCACCTTTTAAAACCTCAAGCCTACACTAGTGGAAAACGTACCAAATAACTTGTCTATATGATGCTGTTCACTGGCCAGGTTTGGAACGTGTCATTTAATCAAGCAGCACGGGAGCACCCTCCTTCTGCCATGCTATACCCTGCCTATCCCCATATGGAAATGGCTGTTGAAGCAAGTTCATGTCCGGACTACCCTCTGTAGGCAGGTACATGGGCAAACCCTGTGCAGATGGTGTCTGGTTCACTGTTACACCGGTGGCGTCCTTCTAAAGCCTTTTGGAATACTGACTGTCCAAACAGCAAGTTACCATATCGGATGTTTGTGTGTGTGTTCAGACAGCAGTCATTTGCTGACATGGTTACGCTAGTTGTCATAGTAACGATGAGTGTGTGCACAGTGGTGTAGGCTGATTGGTGGTGGTGCTCCTGCTTCTTATCACTCAGAAGTTACAGTTGAAGTCGGAAGTTTACATATACCTAGGTTGGAGTCATTAAAACCCGTTTTTTCAACCGCTCCTCTGTCTCTCACTGTTCAAATAAACGTACCATTAAAATTATAGACTGATCATGTCTTTGTCAGTGGGCAAACATACAAAATCAGCAGAGGATCAAATACTTTTTTCCCTCACTGTATATACAGTTGAAGTTGGAAGTTTACATACACTTAGGTTGGAGTCATTAAAACTAGTTTTTCAACCACTCCACAAATGTCTTGTTAACAAACTATAATTTTGGCAAGTCGGTTAGGACATCTACTTTGTGCATGCCACAAGTAATTTTTCCAACAATTGTGTACAGACAGATTATTTCACTTATAATTCACTGTATCACAATTCCAATGGGTCAGAAGTTTACATACACTAAGTTGACTGTGCCTTTAAACAGCATGGAAAATTCCAGAAAATGATGTCATGGCTTTAGAAGCTTCTGATAGGCTAATTGACATCATTTGAGTTAATTGGAGGTGTACCTGTGGATGTATTACAAGGCCTACCTTCAAACTCAGTGCCTCTTTGCTTGACATTATGGGAAAATCAAAAGAAATCAGCCAAGACCTCAGAAAAAAAATTGTAGACCTCCACAAATCTGGCTCATCCTTGGGAGCAATTTCTAAACGCCTGAAGGTACCACGTTCATCTGTACAAACAATAGTACGCAAGTATAAACACCATGGGACAACGCAGCCGTCATACCGCTCAGGAAGGAGACGCATTCTGTCTCCTAGAGATGAACGTACTTTGGTGCAAAAAGTGCAAATCAATCCCAGAACACAGCAAAGGACCCTGTGAAGATGCTGGAGGAAACAAGTACAAAAGTATATATATGCACAGTAAAACAAGCTCAACAAGGAAGAAGCCACTGCTCCAAAACATCCATAAAAAAGGCAGACTACAGTTTGCAACTGCACATGGGGACAAAGATCTTACTTTTTTTTTTTTTTTTATGTCCTCTGGTCTGATGAAACAAAAATAGAACTTTTTGGCCATAATGACCATTGTTATGTTTGGAGGAAAAAGGGGAATGCTTGCAAGCCAAAGAACACCATCCCAACCGTGAAGCTGTGGGGGTGCTTTGCTGCAGGAGGGACTGGTGCACTTCACAAAATAGAAAAATTGTAATTGCTGCAAAAGGTGGCTCTACAAAGTATTGACTTTGGGGGAGTGAATAATTACACACGCTCAAGTTTTCTGTTTTTTTGTCTTATATCTTCTTTGTTTCACAATAAAAAATATTTTGCATCTTCAAAGTGGTAGGCATGTTGTGTAAATCAAATGATACAAGCCCCCCCAAAAAATCCATTTTAATTCCAGGTTGTAAGGCAACAAAATAGGAAAAATGCCAATGGAGGTGAATACTTTCGCAAGCCACTGTATATCTGTTGTGACATGCAGCATCTGACCTTGAGAGGACTCTCCATAGACTGTATAAGGCTCCCTGCCTTACAGAGATTTCAGAGGGGGGTGTGGTGTCACGTGGCAAAGGACCGATACCTGCGCTAATATAAACAAATCACGCTACTAGCGGAGATTCAGTACCATGGACAACAACCAAGGAAATCCTGGACCCCTATCTGAAGTTTACAGTCCTTTTTTCTTTCCTTGTCCCTCTTTTTACCTGTATGCCTACTGGGTGAGGGGATATCATAGACTACTGTACATATCATATGATATCCCTTGGAAGAGTTGGGCCAAAGCAGTGTTGCCAAGGAGGATTCAGAACTTGGGTTAGTAAATCAGTCATGATCGCCATCTAATGTTAATAGGCGGTGGATGGCATTAGGTGTGTGGGACAGGTACAGTGTCTCAGGTGATCATTGTCATTTCATGGGTCCATATGCGACAGAAGATCAAAATGTATTGGTGCGTTCTGTGTTATACTGTGCGTAGTACTTCTGCTGGCTATGTGAATGGTAATGCATGATTGTTTCAGTTTCTGTTACAATGATCTGTGGTAAGCATTTTTATCAAGCCACATGCAAATGCACCAGTACATCAAAACAAGTCCCTACGGTCTATCTGATCTAAATGTAGCCTACTAAATATGTTGGAAAATCTATGATTATATAACTTCATGCTCTAGTATCCTTGCTGCCTGGCACATTATTGTACATTATGGAAGAGAGAGGAAGAGAAGGCACATGCAGGTGGGTGTACATCTGACGTCTTGTGGACATAACACCATTCCTAATCCAGACACTAGCTGCTCCCATGGAGGGCCAGTCTGTTTCTTTCTGCCAATAGTGTCCTACGCTGTCATCAAGGCAAAGGGTGGCTACTTTGAAGAGTCTAAAATCTAAAATATATTTTGATTTGTTTACCACTTTTTCTGGTTACTACATGATTCCATGTGTTATTTCATAGTTTTGATGTCTTCACTCTTATTCTACAATGTAGAAAATAGTAAAAATGAAGAAAAACCCTTGAATGAGTAGGTGTCCAAACTTTTGACTGGTACTGTATATATACAGTTGAAGTCGGAAGTTTACATACACCTTAGCCAAATACATTAAAACTCAGTTTTTCACAATTCCTGACATTTAATCTTAGTAAAAATTCCCTGTCTTAGGTCAGTTAGGATCACCACTTTATTTTAAGAATGTGAAATGTCAGAATAATAGTAGAGAGAATGATTTATTTCAGCTTTTATTTCTTTCATCACATTCCCAGTGGGTCAGGAGTGAGTATTTGGTAGCATTGCCTTTAAATTGTTTAACTTGGGTCAAACTTTTCGGGTAGCCTTCCACAAGCTTCCCACAATACGTTGGGTGAATTTTGGCCCATTCCTCCTGACAGAGCTGTTGTAACTGAGTCAGGTTTGTAGGCCTCCTTGCTCGCACACGCTTTTTCAGTTCTGCCCACAAATGTTCTATAGGATTGAGGTCAGGGCTTTGTGATGGCCACTCCAATACCTTGACTTTGTTGTCCTTAAGCCATTTTGCCACAACTTTGGAAGTATGCTTGGGGTCATTGTCCATTTGGGAGACCCATTTGTGACCAAGCTTTAACTTCCTGACTGATGTCTTGAGATGTTGCTTCAATATATCCACATAATTTTCCTTCCTCATGATTGCATCTATTTTGTGAAGTGCAACAGTCCCTCCTGCAGCAAAGCACCCCCACAGCATGATGCTGCCACCCCCGTGCTTCACGGTTCGGATGGTGTTCTTCGGCTTGCAAGCCTTCCCCTTTTTCCTCCAAACATAACAATGGTCATTATGGCCAAACAGTTCTATTTTTGTTTCATCACACCAGAGGACATTTCTCCAAAAAGTACGTTATTTGTCCCCATGTGCAGTTGCAAACCGTAGTCTGCCTTTTTTATGGATGTTTTGGAGCAGTGGCTTCTTCCTTGCTGAGCGGCCTTTCAGGTTATGTCGATATAGGACTCGTTTTACTGTGGATATAGATACTTTTGTACCTGTTTCCTCCAGCATCTTCATAAGGTCCTTTGCTGTTGTTCTGGGATTGATTTGCACTTTTTGCACCAGTACATTCATCTCTAGGAGACAGAACGAGTCACCTTCCTGAGCGGTATGACGGCTGCGTGGTCCCATGGTGTTTATACTTACATACTATTGTTTGTACAGATGAAGTTGGTACCTTCAGGCGTTTGGAAATTGCTCCCAAGGATGAACCAGACTTGTGGAGGTCTACAATTTTTCTTCTGAGGTCTTGGCTGATTTCTTTTGATTTTCCCATGATGTCAAGCAAAGAGGCACTGAGATTGAAGGTAGGCCTTGAAATATATCCACAGGTACACCTCCAATTTACTCAAATGATGTCATTTAGCCTATCAGAAGCTTCTAAAGCTATGACATCATTTTCTGGAATTTTCCAAGCTGTTTAAAGGCACAGTCAACTTAGTGTATGTAAACTTCTGACCCACTGGAATTGTGATACAGTGAATTATAAGTGAAATAATCTCTCTGTAAACAATTGTTGGAAAAATTACTTGTGTGATGCACAAAGTAGATGTCCTAACCGACTTGCCAAAACTATAGTTTGTTAACAAGAAATTTGTGGAGTGGTTGAAAAACGGGTTTTAATGACTCCAACCTAAGTATATGTAAACTTCCGACTTCAACTGTATTTCTTTTATTTGTGTATCAATTTTGACCAGCCCAACCAACAATAAAATGGTCCGGCCCATCTGGCATTTGCCAGAATTGCCAGTTGGACAAGTTCAGGTAGTACATCCCTGTTTTATAGATTTCCAAAGGTTTACTCCCTACTGAAAATAAGACCCAGTTCGTGCTTTTGAAGTATTACCTCACTGTATTTTTTTTAGGGGTTGAGGAGGATCATTTGGTGACATAATGCAAATAGAAATTAAGTAATGGGTTTCGGAGTTGACTTGAACATTTAAAAGTATTTTCAACCTCTTTGTCAGTGCCGCCACCACACAAGGTGAACTCATCCTTGGGGCAGGGACAAGGTGGCATCCGGGACATCAGTCACATTCCTGACTGACCATGATGATGTTGTTTTCTCTTCTCAGCTATCAAGGAGTTCCCTGAAGACATGTTTTCCAATGACGAGCGCAAGAGTGGGGCCGTCCTGCTGCACATCGTGGCGGTAAGAAAGCGCTTTGAATGCTTCTATCACTAGGTATGACACGTTAATCACTAACCCAGTCCAAAATCAACCTGTAATTCCCCCACCTAGTTAGTGGACACTTCTTGATTGTCCCTGAGACTGTAGGTATTTTTATTTTTCACCTTTATTTAACCAGGTAAGCCAGTTGAGAACAAGTTCTCATTTACAACTGCGACCTGGCCAAGATAAAGCAAAGCAGTGCGATAAAAACAACAACACAGAGTTACATATGGGGTAAACAAAACATAAAGTCAAAAATACAAACAGAAAATATATATACAGTGTGTGCGAATGTAGTAAGTTATGAAGGTAAGGCAATAAATAGGCTATAGTGCAAAATAATTACAATTAGTATTAACACTGGAATGATAGATGTGCAAAAGATGATGTGCAAATAGAGATACTGGGGTGCAAATTAACAAAATAAATAACAATATGGGGATGAGGTAGTTGGGTGGGCTAATTTCAGAATAGCTGTGTACAGGTGCAGTGATTGGTAAGCTGCTCTGACAAACTTATACTTAAGCAATAAGGCATGAGAGGGTGCGGCATATGGCCAATATACCACGGCTAAGGGCTGTTCTTATGCACGACGCAACGCGAAGTGCCTGGATACAGCCCTTAGCCCTGGTATATTGGCCATATTCCGCAAACCCCAGAGGTGCCTTATTGCTATTATAAACTGGTTGCCAACGTGGCATACCCGTGGCTTTCAGCCAATACAATGGCTTTCAGCCAATTAGCATTCGGGGCTGGAACCACCCAGTTTATAACACACTACACTATATTCTACGCCAGGGGGATTCAAATCTTACCCTACGAGCGAGGTCCGGAGTCAGATTACTGCTAGTTTTCTGTTCTACCTGATAATAAATGTCCTAGGTCTAAATCAGTCCCTGATTAGAGAGGAATAATGAGAAGGAAAAAAAGCAGCGGAGCTGTTAAAAAACTGGCTATTTACACAAGGACACAGAAAAAAACACGACCGCACTGCTACGCCATCTTGGAATGGGCAATATAAGAATGACTCCACCTAGACCTTGCTCTTAGAATGATGGCTGGAGTTTCCACCAGTGGTGTCATGCACCACAAATGTTTGAAGGGGCACTGATGGCGTCATTCAATATCTTCACATTAATTATGTTTATCTTGTTTTTTAATATCCTGAAAATGTTAAATATTTAACGGTCATAGGACCCCCACATTCTTTCAGATGTACAAGTATGATCAAGAGGTGTCTCGGTAGGGGGCCAAGGGTTGAATTTGGACTGGCATACCTCGATCTCCTTTACCCACAATACACCTCAGCTTGATCTCACACCAGGGGAGAACGACGTCCCCCTCTCATTAAAGCCACGGAAGTTCAAGGCCGACCGCGGTACTGCAGGTATTGTTAGCAGAAAACATAATCCCCCATTAGAGGGAATGGAAAAATGGCAATCTTCGTGGTCAATATTTGTGTAATTTTTTTTTGGGAAAACAATATCAATAATTGCATCTAATACACCAGATGTATGTCCTTGAACCGATTTATGAAGTTACGGTAAAACTTCAATTAATAGCCCAGCTGTTTATTTGCTTAAATCACTGAACACAACAGGCACTTATTAGTGACAGGTTTCTATTTGAGCCAGGTGTGCATCTATTTCCTTAATGCACACAGCTTTTGCTCATTTGCATAGTTAATTGTTTAATTCCAGCATTCACTTTCAGCATTTTAATAAATGTCTTCATTTCCTGCACTAATGTGTTATCATTTACACACTGTCATGTTTCTTTCGTCTTAGTATGCCTCTATTTATTTTTTAACAACACTTTTCCTTGACAGAATAATGATTCTCCTCTTTGACTGTGCATTTTCGGCAGTTCTTACTTTCGCCACTAGAGCGCGATCGGGCGATTTCTAGGGGTCTGTACTCCCGAAGTTGTTGACTGTTTTTGTGCTTGCCAGCTGTTCTCAGCTGTTAGCAGCAAATGGCTAGCAGTTTGCCATCATTTTCTCGAGTCATTAATAAATTATTTGTAAACAATACATGGTAATTCATGTTAACCTTGTAAACAATTCATTTAGACCCGGCGTTTATTTGAAAAAGGTGTTTATTTGCTGAAATGTGTGCCGTTGCCCGGCAATTAAAAGGGACAGGCGGCTATTTGAGACTGCATTTATTTGAAGTTTTACCTTATAAGGATAATTTAGTTGCTAATGGCAGCCTGCAGTACCCCAGTCGACCTTCAACTTGAGTTACTCAATGAGAGAGCCAGCAACGTCACTTCCTGGAGTAACTCAAACTGCGCATGTTATATCTCCAAGACTCAAGAGATGCTGTCTTTAACCAATTTAATTTGGCTTCAATGCGCTATTGAGTCTTCACATAGGAATGAATGGTGTCACGTGATCAATGGCTTTATCCATTCATATATACAGTCATTGTCTCACACTAAAGCAGGGGCTCATGCCCCCTCCTATATCCTCACAAACCCTGGCCTGCTGTGTTCTGCCCTGGTCTAGGAGCTATTTCTCAATTACTTGCTCACATTATGTAATAGGTGTGAAGTTAAGATGAGGAATCTTGATTCATTGTAATGTAATGCTATGAGGGTGAGATAAGAGGATGGATGGTAAATTGGAGCCAATATACAATGGTTGTACAGTGCCCCCTGTGGATGGGCTAGAGCACAGCACCCTCTCTGGAGCCCCATGATGTCAGTCCTGATCTATAATTTAAATAAATATCATGTCAACTGTACTGAAATAGGATTATTTTCTTCTCTCACACAAGGGTAAAGAACAATAGCCTGGTCCCAGATCTCTTTGAGCTGTCTTCCCAACTGCTATGGTTATTCAGCATGACAATGATCATAGGAGTTGGCTATACAGCACAAACCGAGATCTGGCACCAGGCTAGAGGAATACTATGCACTGCAGAAATTGTCTAAGCAATGAATACAGTTTTCGAAGTGATGGGATCAATCCCAAATCAACCCCTAGCCCCTACCCAACTAGTCAGTTGTTTAGATCTGAGAGGATCGGATCTGTATTATTCTACCTAATCCAGTAGTAGCTGTTCCATCTTTCCTCCAGATACGATATTTAGCATTTTCACCACATTTCTTACTAGATGTATCTAATCCTAGATGTATCTCATCTTCTTTGATGTAGTGCTCTTTAGCTTTATCCTTCAGCTCTCCTTCATTCCTTCATTGAGATCTTCCAAGTTTCCTATCAGTTCAGCCAATTTCTGATGAGTTAACGTTTCACACACACATACACACTGCCTCTTCTCTCCCGTCTCGACAGGCCCTCTATATGTTCCTGGCTCTGGCTATAATCTGTGACGACTACTTTGTTCCGGCGCTGGAGAAGATCTGTGAGGTGAGAGACCCTTGTCAGGTCACACAATCTGGTGAAACTGGTCTGAGATATTAGCATGGGCCACCATGGCTCTAGCATTATGTCCTTACCACGGGTGAGTTTTCTGCCAATTTAGCAGCTAGGGCGGCACTTTACTTCTCTCAAGTAATGCTTTTGATAATCAATATGTTCTGCATGAGCTGAATAAAATCTTCCTATTGAAGTACTTTGCTATTCTATGAGTGGTCTTGGTTGTCGAGATGATAAATAAAGGGCCACATTAACTACAATGCTTTTGGGAAACTCAGTCCTGACTAACCACTCCTGTCTCCTTTTTCATGCTTTCTCTCGGTCTGTCAGAAACTAGACCTAAGTGAGGATGTTGCCGGAGCCACTTTTATGGCAGCTGGGAGTTCTGCTCCAGAGCTGTTTGCCTCCGTCATTGGTAATATATGACACACACATGCAAACACCACCACAAACACACACACACCCCCACACACACACCAATATACACCGACACACTCCTTTACACAACACAAAAAACCCAGAACTAAAATCTTGTCAAATCTAATTGTATTTGTCACATGCTCCGAATACAACGGGTGTAGACTTTACCGTGAAATGCTTGCTTATAAGTCCTTACCAACGATGCAGAGTATAAAAAATAAAATGGTAACACAAGGAATACAATAAAATACACAAGAATAGAGCTATATATAACAGGGAGTACCAGTACCAGTACCAATGTGTGACTAGGCATCAGGATAGATAATAATACCAGTAAAATATAGAACAGAGTAGCAGCAGCAAATGATGAGTGTAAAAGTGTATGCGTGTATGTTTGTGTTGTGTGTGCGTGTGTGTGCGCACGTATGTAGTGTGTGTGGGTTTTGTTTTGTGTGGGAGTGTAATTACGTCAGATGCTCGATTAGGTTCTGGGGGGAGTTGTATGAGAAAAGACACTAACGAAGTCTCCACCTCCCTAAATGGAAACTCTCAGCCGGGGGACAGGGGGAGCAAGGTATTGGCCAGTCTGATAGTTTTAGCCATGATGCTCCTGTACTGCCCGCGTCTGAGTGATGGAAGCAGGGAGAACAGGCTGTGACTCGGGTGGCTGAGGTCACTAATGATCTTCTTTGCCTTTCTGCGACACCTGGTGTTGTAGGTGTCCTGGAGGGCAGGCAGTGTGCACCCAATGGTACCCATGGGCATTCTATGTCTGTCCGCAAGAGATTAACCAACACACACCAATATGTCAAAATTCAACAACAAAAAACAGACACACCTACACACCAGGGCTGGGGTCAATTCAAATTGAAGGCAGTCAATTTAGGAAGTTATTTTAATGTAAAATTACAAAATTGAAAAACTTTATTGAGAAGTTATTGAAATTAGCTGCAGTTTTTATTTTTATTTTGAATTTGTATTTAAGTTTACTTCCTGGATTGACTGCTTTCAATTCAAATTGACCACAGCCCTGCTACACACACACACCCTCTCCCAGAAAGTTATTGTCAAGGCTGATTGTGATTGGTTGCTTCCCTATGTACAGGTGTCTTCATTACCCACGGTGATGTGGGGGTGGGGACAATCGTCGGCTCAGCGGTCTTCAATATTCTGTGCATCATCGGCGTGTGCGGAATATTCGCCGGACAGGTGTGTGTGTGTTTGTGTGCGCGTGCAGGTGGCTGTTTCTGTGTGTGTTACTGTGCATCTGTGTGTGCGTGTGCGTGCATGCATGTGGGTCTCGTTTAGTGCAGCATTTGCATTTGGATCACTTATGGGCTGAGAAGTAAATAGAAAGATTGAGTTCTCCTATGGGGAACCATGTCCAGATGTCTGGTAGTTAGCAATTGCTCACAGCTGTCGTTCGTCTCTGGAAAGCATATTTCTGGGCCCGTATTCACAAAGAATAGGAGTGCTGATCTAGGGTCATTTTAGCCTTTTCAATCATAATAAGATTCTATGGAAATGTAACGTGTACGCTGGGAGTCGGGATGCAAGTACAGGGAGTGAATTTAATAATAAATGAAACAAAACAAGAAACACGAGTAGCGTACAGACATCAATAACGCCTGGGGAATAACCCGAAGGGAGTGACAGATATAGGGGAGGTAATCAGGAAGGTGATGGAGTCCAGGTGAGTCTCATAATACCGCGCAGGTGCTCGTAACGATGGTGGCAGGTGTGCGTAATGAACAGTCAACTGGCGACCTCGAGCACCGGAGAGGGGGAGCGGGAGTAGACGTGACAGGAAAGGAGGCACCTGATCCTAGATCAGCATTTCTAGGCTGAGACACTTTATATATACAAGGATGTGATCTCTTTCCTGACTGACTGTTCCTCTCTCTCTTTCTAGGTTGTCATGTTGGGTTGGTGGTCTGTTTTCCGAGATTCATTCTACTACGTCTTGTCGATCCTCGCTCTTATTGCGGTAAGTCTGACAGTAAAATGCACATTACATGTACTGTATGTGACCATAAGTAATATATTTATTTTGATATTTTATTAGGATCCCCATGAGTTATTCTGAAAGCAGCAGCTGCTCTTCCTGGGGTCCACACAAGTCATGAAACATGACATAATACAGAACATTAATAGACTAGAACAGCTCAAGGACAGAAGTACATATTGAATAATTCCTAACTGGCATTGTTTTCATTTCTGCCTGTGCTCTTTTTGTTCCAGTTCATCTACGATGGGAAGGTAGTGTGGTAAGCGAGCCCCACCTCTTTTCGATTGGTCCTTAAATAATACCTTGATGTGATGGAATTTTCATTAGTTGCGTGTCTGAACTGTGGGGCTCCTTATTGGGTGATATGATGGGATTTAATTGGTCTTTATTGGGTAACTGTGATATGATGGGATTTCAGTCGTTGACTCTCCCCTGTGTCCGTCTCAGGTGGGAGAGCCTGGTGTTGGTGCTCATGTACTGTGGATACATCATCATCATGAAGTAAGTGCTGCACTACTGAGTCAGTGAAAACTCAAGGCCCAATGAAATTGATGTGGTGGGGGAGACAGATTTTCATTTTTAAGATATCATCTTTTTTTTCTCTAAGAAATATACAAAGACTCAATGCAATAATATTGAATTTGAGTGCGCCCTGATTTTCTGCGGGCCGGAAGTTTTTAATCTGTTTGTCTCTGGGTCATCCAGGTCACTCCCCTAGTAATAATCTGTCTCTCAGCCCCAGCCTGCTCACTCCCAGCCCAGCCATCTTCCCCCTCTGCAGTGGCTAAAGAGCACCAGGCTTAACTGGATATCACTTGTCTCCTGTCTTGTTTGGAGGAAGGGAGTGCTCCGACTGCCCTTCTATGACCCATTATGATGCCACTCAGACAATAGCCTACTCGCTGACCATTTCAGATACCATCCTATCTTGCCCATAGGGTTTGCTGTATAACCTATGTGTGCATACATACTGTAGGATGTAAAATCTACAACATGGTTTCACATTCACCTGAAGTTGCAGGACTGAGTGCCACAGTTATTGTACACATGAACAGTTGCAAAAAATTTACTGCAGTTTACTGTATACACAGGGACAGTTTCCCAGACACAGATTAAACCTAGTGCTTGAATACAAATATATTTCAATTGCGATTAAGTAAGTTTATTAATCAGTGTCCAAGTAACTGGTCCCTAGAATTTACAGACCACTACAGAGTGTTCAATTATTGGCTGTTGATGAAAAAGTGAGGCGTTAACCAGTGTCCCTCTCTCCCCTCTTCTCCCAGGTTTAACCAGAGCCTGCAGAAGTTATTCACGAGGAAAGGGGGCAAGGACAAGAATCAGGCCAATGGTAACGCAGCGGCCAGCAGCGAGATGGAGGATGGTAATGCTAGTTATGATGACAGTGTGTGGGATGACGACCCCATCATTGCCTATACTCAGCACGGCAGTAGGTAAGGCTAACCAGGCAGGCAGTAGTACACACCAAGGCTTCTCTCAAGACATGAGCTTATTCTCTGTATCTGTACTCGTCTTTTTTTAACCCCAAAAGTTGATTAAGATGAACTATTGGTCATTTCTGATCAAATAGGGTCGAGGCAATGGCTGGCGTTTTGGTTAAAATATCATAGACTTAGATGACTCATCTTTGCATCTGTCCCATTATGGTATCTGAGAGCACGGGCAGTGCCGTTGAATCAATCTCCATTTTGAAGTAGTCAAATTTCTTCTGCTCCTCCTTCTATGAGTTGGTAAACAAACTGAAAGGGTGCATACTGCCACCTGGAGGAAATTGTTTGAACCGGTATAAAGTCAAGGTTGGAATGTGGACCATCTTTGAGCATGCTTTCTCGCGTGGAAAAGTATTCTCACGCAAAAGAGGGAACGCCCACTTACACAGACAGGAACTGCGACCATTTTTTAAATTGCGGCCTTTATGCAACATCTTCATTAACTACCATCTTGGAGTTTACTACTTCAAAATGGTATAAGTCCTCAATGCTGCTGCCCATGCTAAAACAGGCTTTTGGACACTATAGTTGTCTAGATCTAAGTCTGTGTTGGGCAGGAATATGAACTTGTGGGTTCATGGGAGTTGGGTAGGACTTCCTCTGTCAGTGTGGTGAAGGTGTTGCACTTCTACAATCTCCATTCTACTGTGCTGACTAACAGTGGGTAAGAGGTAACCTTCAGCTCAACCACAGCACTTGGTTCTCTCTAGCTCTACCAGAGGAGGCTGGTGGGAGGAGCTATAGGAGGACGAGCTCATTGTAATGGCTGGAATGGAAAATATGGAACGGTATCAAACATATGGAAACTACGTTTGACTCCGTTCCATTTATTCCATTCCAGCCATTACAATGACCCTGTCCTCCTATGGCCCTTCCCACCAGCCGCCTCTGATCTCTACCTCTCTCTCGCTCTTCCTGGCCTCCTTATCTTTGGTATTAATGTCATAAGTGGGTTGTAACTTGTCTAGATGCGGCCATATCTTCCACTTTCTTTCCACTAATGTCAAAGCGCCTGTCTGTTTAGCCTTACTAAACCCACTGTTGCTTGTTGTGTTGTGACTGTTTCTGCATGCTAGATTGCAGTGTTTCTCTGCTGTTTCTCTGCAGTATGTTTCTCTGCTTGTCTCTTGAGGTATCAACCCACTGCCTTGTGGTAATGACTATCCAAATATATGGAATGTTTGTGTCAGCTTTGTTTTCTTAGTAATTCTATATAATGAATCAATTTAAGAATGTAATATAGAACCCTTATCAGACCCTGAATTCGTCCATTTTACCAGGAATATGTGTAAAACACAAGTGGAAACTTCTCATGGCAAGGTGTTTTTACACCTTTAATGGATTTTTGGTGTTTGATGTTAGCATGTTTGTGTGTCAGTCAGGGTTTCTGTTAGCTGGTAATGGCTGGCATTTGGCTGATAAAATAAATTAATTGAAAAGCCGATAAATAAAATTGCTGCTGGCCAAATGTCCAGAAGATGAAGAAAACATCCCATTGCGAAATAATGCTTTTTAGCCTATTCATTGATGGAAATACCAGTCGATGGAAATACATTTGACTGGTCATGCTTATCGGTCTATAGGTACATTTTCAAAATGTTGTGGAAATAAATTGGTGCGTGTACAGTATATTCGCTGTGCATCTTATTTATCACACCCGCACAGCATACAGATGCAGAGCCTTTGAGAGGAACATCTGTCAGACAGCGTGAGAGCTGCTACTACAGCATCTCAATCAGCAAATGCATAGGCAACTGAAGGCAGGCATCATCAGATGTCACACACCACTTTGCAATGAGCTGGAGGCAGTATGCATTTTGAAAACATATACTTAATTGTTTGAAACCTGAACGTTTTACTACATACCTTGCTTCAAAGTAGCCTAGCCAAAATCAGATCATATCCGTGGAGGCAATTCTTTTCTATAACCTTTCTTTCATTGTCTAGTAGCCAAATGCACAATCCTAGTCTTATTAACAACCCACGCTAGTTGTTGCATATTAGATCTCCCCTCTTTCTACATTTCTAACGGTATTTTCATTTCTGTCACATGAAACCGCTGGCTTGTGCAGTGTGTTTTGACAACAATGTTTTCCCATTAACTGCATTATGGAACAAACATTCACGCGTAGTCTACTACCTTGTGCACATTGCTGCCCTTATGTGAAGAAATAATAGTTTATCAACATTTTAAGCTAAACTTTCTGATCTGTTGCATCACTCATTGCTTTTTAACCTTTCTTTAATGTAGCCTAGGCTACTAGTTGTATTAATTTAGGATCTATCATCCCAAAAACGTCCCATAGTCTGTTTGGAATAGGCTATTTCTTTCTCGGCAAGCTGACCAATAGAATAGGTAAACGTTTCTACTATGGGGGATAGTATATTGACATAGGCCCCGTGTAGCTCAGTTGGTAGAGCATGGCGCTTGCAACGCCAGGGTTGTGGGTTCGATTCCCACGGGAGGCCAGTATAAAAAAAAAAATTCTGCACTCACTAACTGTAAGTCGCTCTGGATAAGAGCGTCTGCTAAATGACTTAAATGTAAATAGGGTAGTGATTTTGCTGTTCGTTATACTCTCTGGCTGAGGAAAAGTAAATGTGGACAGTTATTCTTCATCTTCAAAGTGCACATCAGAATTCGGTAAGAAGGACATCGTTGCATCCTCGGTTTGCATGTTCTGTTCATATGAATTACCATTATCTAAATGCGATTTCTGTCATTCTGAGCACCGGGTGGATGCCCTAATCTGGTTACACACCCAATGCATATGGGTCCGGTAAATTTCTCAAATGTCCAGTAAATTAAAATGCTGTTCTCAAATGTCCAGCGCCACATTTTCCTAATGGAAACCCTGGTGTGAGATTATGTGTGTGGGAGAGAGCGAGCGAGCGTCTGTGTGTGTCAGTTTTGATGGTCTAATGTGTCTGTCCGTCTCCAGTCAAACCCAGTAAGGCTTACAGTCGTGGGTCTGTGGTCATGGTCGACGAGATGATGCATGCCAACCCTTCCAAGATGCGCTTCCCCGAGGCCGGCCTCCGCATCATGATCACCAGCCATTTTGGACCCAAGACCCGGCTGCGCATGGCCAGTCGCCTCATCATCACTGAGGTACGGATAGAGAGGGATGTAACTGCAGAAAAGGGATAGGGGAGCAGATGGTTTGTTTCCATATTAGAGAATGCAATGGTCTCAGTTGTATAGATTTGATAGTGCTGTCATTGCTGTACAGTTGACTACCTGGGTCGTGTTCATTAGGCACCAAATGAGAAAAAAACAGACTGAATCAATCTGGTCTTGGTCCAATACCAAACACTCCCTTTCATTTTTCATTGAAAAACGTGTTCCGATGTGTGCCCTAATGAACAACTCCCTGTTTTGCCTGTGACAGCGTCAGAAGCTGGTCCAGGGCGCCAACGGAGTGGAGACCCAGGTGCTGGAGGGGAAGGTGGACGTTGAGAACGGCAACGTGCCCGAGGACAAGCCTGCAGAGGAGGAGCCCGAAAACGAGACAATCTCCCCCTTTCATATCCCAGGTGTGTGTATGTGCTGTGTACATGTATTAGCGAGTTGTTTATCCAGACAGAGCTTGACATTACTGTAGATAGTACAACATTACTGTGGATAGTACATGTTTTAATGTTAAGATATGGCTAATCAGATTTAAACATTTGCTTACACTTCAGTAGACGTATTGCTCTTACCCAAATTATCCTGTGACTTTATCATATCATATCATGACTAATTCTAATGATCTTTGACAGACAGTTATGTGCATGGCAAACACTGCTCCAATGTGTGTATGAAACATACTACGAAGTGCTTTATGATTGAAGTAGCTGATGAGTTAAATTGGTTGTGTTAGTGCTGGGCTAGACCAAATACCTGCACCTTAGACTGCTGTCCTATGTTCATAGTCATTGAACACTGGTCACTTTAATACTGTTTTAACCACTTCATATGTACAGTCCATTCGGAAGGTATTCAGACCCCTTGACCACATTTTGTTACTTTACAGCCTTATTCTAAAATTGATTACATTGTTTTTTCCCCTCATCAATCTACACACAATACCCAATAATGACAAAGCAAAAACAGTTTTAATTAAAATAAAATATATACAGTACAGTCAAAAGTTTGGACACCTACTCATTCAAGGGGTTTTCTTTATTTTTACTATTTTCTACATTGTAGAATAATAGTGAAGACATCAAAACTATGAAATAACACATATGGAATCATGTAGTAACCAAAAAAGTGTTATGTCTATATTTGAGATTCTTCAAAGTAGCCACCCTTTTGCCTTGATGACAGCGTTGCCCACTCTTGGCATTCTCTCAACCAGCTTCACCTGGAATGCTTTTCCAATAGTCTTGAAGGAGTTCCCACATATGCTGAGCACGTGTTGGCTGCTTTTCCTTCACTCTGCCATCCAACTCATCCCAAACCATCTCAATTGGGTTGAGGTCGGGTGATTGTGGAGGCCAGGTGTTCTGATTCAGCACTCCATCACTCTCCTTCTTGGTCAAATAGCCCTTACACAGCCTGGAGGTGTGTTGGGTCATTGTCCTGTTGAAAAACAAATGATAGTCCCACTAAGCGCAAACCAGATGGGATGGTGTATCGCTGCAGAATGCTGTGGTAGCCATGCTGGTTAAGTGTGCTTTGAATTCTAAATAAATCACTGACAGTGTCACCAGCAAAGCACCCCCACACCATCACACCACCTCCTCCATGCTTCACGGTGGGAACCACACATGCAGAGATCATCAGTTCACCTACTCTGCATCTCACAAAGACACGGCGGCTGGAACCAAAAATCTCAAATTTGGACTCATCAGACCAAAGGACAGATTTCCACCAGTCTATGTCCATTGCTCATGTTTTTTGGCCCAAGTAAGTCTCTTCTTCTTATTGGTGTCCTTTAGTAGTGGTTTCTTTGCAGCAATTCGACCATGAAGGCCTGATTCACACAGTCTCCTCTGAACAGTTGATGTTGAGATGTGTCTGTTACTTGAACTCTGAAGCATTTATTTTGGGCTGCAATTTCTGAGGCTGGTAACTCTAATGAACTTGTCCTCTGCAGCAGAGGTGGCGGTCCTCATGAGAGCCAGTTTCATCATAGCGCTTGATGATTTTTGTGACTGCACTTGAAGAAACTTTCACAGTTCTTGAAATTTTCCGGATTGAGTGACCTTCCTGTCTTAAAGTAATGATGCTCTGTCGTTTCTCTTTTGCTTATTTGAGCTGTTCTTGACATAATATGGACTTGGTCTTTTACCAAACAGGGCTATCTTCTGTATACCCCCATACCTTGTCACAACACAACTGATTGGCTCAAACGCATTAAGAAGAAATTAACTTTAAACAAGGCACACCTGTTAATTGAAATGCATTCCAGGTGACTACCTCATGAAGCTGGTTGAGAGAATGCCAAGAGTGTGCAAAGCTGTCAATTCTTTTTTGGTTACTACATGATTCCATATGTGTTATTTCATAGTTTTGATGTCTTCACTATTATTCTACAATGTAGAAAATAGTAAAAATAAAGAAAATCGCTTGAATGAGTAGGTGTGTCCAAACTTTTGACTGGTACTGTGTGTATGTGTGTGTGTATATATATATATATATTTTGAAATATGACATTTACATAAGTATTCAGACCCTTTACTCAGTACTTTGTTGAAGCACCTTTAGCATTGATTACAGCCTCGAGTCTTCTTGGGTATCACACTACAAGCTTAGCACACCTGTATTTGGGGAGTTTCTCCCATTCTTCTCTGCAGATCCTCTCAAGCTCTGTCAGGTTGGATGGGGAGTGTCGCTGCACAGCTATTTTCAGGTCTCTCCAGAGATGTTTGATTGGGTTCAAGTCCGTGCTCTGGCTGGGCCACTCAAGGACATTCAGAGACTTGTCCTGAAGCCACTCCTGCGCTGTCTTGGCTGTGTGCTTAGGGTCGTTTTCCTGTTGGACGGTGAACCTTCGCCCCAGTTTGAGGTCATGAGCGCTCTGGAGCAGGTTTTCATCAAGGATCTCTCTGTACTTTGCTCAGTTCAGCTTTCCATCGATCCTGACTATTCTCCACTGTCGCTGAGAAACATCCCCACAGCATGATACTGCTACCACAATGCTTCACCGTAGGGATGGTGCCAGGTTTCCTCCAGACGTGAAGCTTGGCATTCAGGCCATAGAGTTCAATCTTGGTTTCATCAGACCAGAGAATCTTGTTTCTCATGGTCTGAGAGTTCTTTAGCTGCCTTTTGGCAAACTCCAAGTGGGCTGTCATGTGCCTTTTTACTGAGGAGTGGCTTCCGTCTGGCCACTCTACCATAAAGGCCTGATTGATGGAGTACTGCAGAGATGGTTGTCCTTCTGGAAGGTTCTCCCATCTCCACAGAGGAGCTCTGTCGGAGCGACCATCCGGTTCTTGGTCACCTCCTTGACCAATGACCTTCTCCCTCGATTGCTCAGTTTGGCCGGGCGGCCAGCTCTAGGAAGAGTCTTGGTGGTTCCAAACTTCTTCCATTTAGGAATGATGGAGGCCGCTGTGTTCTTGGACCTTCAATGCTGCAGAAATGCTTTGGTACCCTTCTCCAGATCTGTTCCTCGACACAATCGTGTCTCAGAGCTCTACGGACAATTCCTTCGACCTCATTTGTTCTGACATGCACTGTCAACTGTGCCTTTCCAAATCATGTCCAATCAATTCAATTTACTACAGGTGGACTCCAATGAAGTTGTAGAAACATCTCAAGGATGATCAATGGAAACAGGATGCACCTGAGCTCTATTTCGAGTCTCATAGCAAGAGACTTGGCTCTGTCATATCCTCACATGGTCTCTCCTATCATTGCTACGCAGACGACACACAATTTTCTTCTTTTCCCCCTTCTGATAACCAGGTGGCGAATCGCATCTCTGCATGTCTGCCAGACATATCAGCGTGGATTTCGGATCACCACCTCAAGCTGAACCTCGGCAAGACGGAGCTGCTCTTCCTCCCGGGGAAGGACTGCCCACTCCATGATCTCGCCATCACGGTTGACAACTCCATTGTGTCCTCCTCCCAGAGTGCAAAGAACCTTGGCGTGACCCTGGACAACACCCGGTCATTCTCCGCTAACATCAAAGCGGTGATCCGATCCTGCAGGTTCATGCTCTACAACATTCGCAGAGTACGACCCTATCTTACACAGAAAGCGGCACAGGTCCTAATCCAGGCACTTGTCATCTCCCGTCTGGATTACTGCAACTCGCTGTTGGCTGGGCTCCCTGCCTGTGCCATTAACCCCCTACAATTTATCCAGAACGCTGCAGCCCGTCTGGTGTTCAACCTTCCCAAGTTCTCTCATGTCACACCGCTCCTCCGCACACTCCACTGGCTTCCAGTTGAGGCTCGCATCTACTACAAGACCATGGTGCTTGCCTATGGAGCTGTGAGGGGAACGGCACCTCCTTACCTTCAGGCTCTGATCAGACCCTACACCCAAACGAGGGCACTATGTTCATCCACCTCTGGCCTGCTAGCTCCCCTACCTCTACGGAATTACAGTTCCCGCTCAGCCCAGTCAAAGCTATTCGCTGCTCTGGCACCCCAATGGTGGAACAAGCTCCCCCACGATGCCAGGACAGCGGAGTCACTGACCACCTTCCGGAGACACTTGAAACCCTACCTCTTTAAGGAATACCTGGAATAGTATAAAGTAATCCTACTTCCCCCACCCCCCATTAAAAAAAGAAATTAAAAAAAAAAGGTGGTTGTCCCACTGGCTATCATAAGTTGAATGCACCAATTTGAAAGTGCTCTGGATAAAAGCGTCTGCTAAATGATGTAAATGTAATAGCAAAGGGTCTGAATACTTATGTAAATAAGGTATTTCCCTTTTTTATTTTTAATGAATTTGCAAAAATGTCTAAACCTGTTTTCACTTTGTCATTATGGGGTATAAATGCATTTAATATATTTTAGAATAAGGCTGTAACGTAACAAAATGTGGAAAAATTAAAGCGATCTTAATACTTTCCGAATGCACTGTATTCTAGTCATGGCTCATCCTATATAACTACTGCTGTACACCCTTTCTATTCATATACTGTCCATAATGTCTATACACAACATCAAATACATATATATTTATATTCTGGACTCTGACATTGCTTGTTCTAATATTTATATTTTATTATTGTTTTGTATGGTTAGGTATTACTGCACTGTTGGAGCTAGAAACACAAGCATTTCGCTACACCGCATTAACATCTGCAAAATATGTGTACGTGACCAATAAAATGTGATTTGACCTAGTTTTTCCCGGACCAGAACACTGTTTTAGAAAGAATTGTACGTCCTCCTAGGGTGCTATTCCTTGCCACTCTGCTTCTGCTTGCTCTTTGGAATTCTAGACTGGGTTACTGTAAAACACTTTGACTTGATATTAAAGGGGCTTTATAAATACATGTGATTGATTTTACCTGCCCCTTCCATCCTACAGTGGGCATCAGCAGCAAGTGCAAGTGGCTGATTTCGTGGCCCCTGCTGCTCCTCCTGTTCTTCACCATCCCCAACTGTGCCAAGCCTCGATGGGAGAAGTTCTTCATGCTCTCCTTCATCCTCTCTACTGTCTGGATCGCTGTCTTCTCCTACTTCATGGTCTGGATGGTGAGTCTCAGGGTGTGTGTTGGGGGGTAGTTGTGTCTGTCTGTTCTGGTCACTTATCAGTTGTAACGTGTGTGTGTGGTCGCAGGTCACCATCATCGGCTACACCCTTGGCATCCCAGACGTCATTATGGGCATCACTTTCCTGGCAGCGGGCACCAGTGTGCCAGACTGCATCGCTAGTCTCATCGTTGCTCGGCAAGGTACAATTCTACTTTCTGTAATTTCCCTTTAACTGTTTGTGAGGATGGAAATCAAGGGCATCTACTCATTGAAAAACAAATGGTCCTAGACTGAGGTATCTTCGGACTGTACCATCTTTGGCAAAAATCTTGTCTTAAGGCTTTTCAAAGTTAATTCTGGAGGTTGCTTTTATGTAAAATGCTTATATTTGAATGACAACTATTTCTGTTTAGGAATGGGTGACATGGCGGTGTCCAACACCATTGGCAGTAATGTGTTTGATATCCTGGTTGGGCTGGGGTTGCCCTGGGCGCTACAGACCATGGCGATCAACTACGGCTCTGAGGTAAGAACAGCTATAGGTAACGGAGTAGGGTTCAGTTGCCCCTAGTCGCTGATCTTGGATCAGTTTAGTATTTTCCCCACTAATGGTTAAGGTTAGGATAGGGGGTGGGGAAGCTGATCCTAGATCTGGACCTTCACTCTGGCGCATAGGGAACAGCTATCCTAAGAGATTACTGCTTTGCTTGACGTACAACTTTGTAACTCAATATGCACTGTAAATACTTGTAGTTGTAGTAGTCATCTTTCAGGAAGCGTGTACACTGAAATGAAGTCAAGTGATCTTGACTCTGAGAGCTTGAGTTGGAAGTGTTCATCAGTCATGTTTTGGAGAGGGAATAACACATTTTTTAAGGACTAAATAACAAGTGTTTCAGTACTGAGTGATTGAGTCCTTGACCCTACTGTCTCCAGCTCTCTCCTCCTCTCCCACACTTCTACTAGGGGTGCATCTCAATAGTATAAAGCATACTCCTGGCCAGAGAGGAAGCCAATTAAGACTATTGAGATGCACCCCTTGAGTTAACTATGACCAGAGCCATGTATTTAGAGTTGGGCCAACTTTTATAATTTTGAATATTGCTTTAATCTATACATTCAGTTAATAGTATTTTTAAATATTCCCAATGTAATGTTAACTATGACTTCCCCTCTAGGTCATTATCAACAGTCGAGGACTGGTCTACTCTGTGGTGCTGCTGCTGGGTTCTGTGGCTTTAACGGTGAGCAGATTCCATCCTCTATAAATCAGTTGATAGAGCATGGCGTTTGTAATGCCAGGATAGTTTTAGATTCCCAGGACCACCCATAAGTAAAACATTTATGCACGCATGGCTAAGTTGCTTTGGATAAAAACGTCTGCTTAATGGCATATATTATATTATATTATACATGTATTATATTATACAACTGACCAGAGTCTTACTGTGTATAGAGACTACAGTATCTATGTCTCGGCCACTGTAAGACTGCCAGTGTATTAGGCTGTGGCCAGACAGATTTTGTTTCCTAAAATTACGAATTGAACCAATAGTTTTTCAAAGGGAGTCATCCGTTGACTGATGACGGACAACGGAGAAGATTGTCCAACAAAAAACACGCGTCTTTTTAATGTACGTATGCAAATTTGAGTTGACAGGCAAAAAAAACAAAAAAACAAAACGGACAGTTGATGAATGCAAATACGATTTAATCTGTGTTCTTGCGCCTCTGTGTGGCCTTAGCTTTTTATTGGAATGGTTCTGTTTTGTGGATATGGATAATGCTACTGTTCTGTCTCAAACTGCTGTGTGTACGTTCGATTTCAAGAGGCACTATGCAGAAATCGCTCAAATTCTAATAGTTCACCTACTTTCAGTATACAGTGCCGTGAAAAAGTATTTGCCCCCTTTCTGATTTTCTCTATTTTTGTATATTTGATACCTAATATTAGATAAAGGGAACCTGAGTTTACAAATAACAAAAATGTATACATATTTTATTTATTTAATTAGCAAAGTTATGCAACACCTAATTCCCCTGTGTGAAAAAGTAATTGCCCCCTTACGCTCAATAACTGGTTGTGCCACCTTTAGCTGCAATGACTGCAACCAAATGCTTCCTGTAGTTGTTGATCAGTCTCTCACATCGCTGTGGAGGAATTTTGGCCCATACTTGCATGCATAACTGCTTTAACTGCTCGTTTCAAGTCCTGCCACAACATCTCTAATGGGATTAGGTCTGAACTTTGACTAGGCCATTCCAAAACTTCAAATTTGTTGATTTTTACAAATTTTCATGTAGACTGTGATGGTTTGGGGATGCTTTGCTGCCTCAGGACCTGGACAACTTGCCTTAATAGGAACCATGAATTCTGCTTGTATCAGAGAATTCTACAGGAAAATGTCAGCCATCCATCTTTGAGCTGAAGCTAAAGCGCAGATGGGTCATGCAGCAAGACAATGATCCAAAACACACAATCAAGTCTACATGAAAATGGCTAAAAAGCAACAAATGTGAAGTTTTGGAATCGCCTAGTCAAAGTCCAGACCTAATCCCAATTGAGATCCCTTACGAAAAAAGATTGCAGTCAGAGTGCAATATAACTGCAGTATGCTGCGCCCAAAAGAAGTTTGTTTTACTGTAGTAATTTTGCAGTGTAACTGCAGTTCAACTACAGTATAACTGCAGTTATTCTGCAATTACTGCGTCCAAAATACTACAGTCGACTGCAGTTTCAAAACGTTATTTTTTGTAAAGGATGTTGTGGCAGGACTTGAAACGAGCAGTTCATGCTTGAAAACCCACAAATGTCACTGAGTTACAGCAGTTCTGCATGGAAGAGTGGTCCAAAATTCCTCCACAGTGATATGAGAGACTGATCAACAACTACAGGAAATGTTTGGTTGGAGTCATTGCAGCTAAAGGTGGCACAACCAGTTATTGAGTGTAAGGGGGCAATTACTTTTTCACACGGGCATTGGGTTTTGTATAACTTTGTTTTATTAAATAAATGTAATAAGTATGTTTGGTTATTTGTTAACTCAGGTTCCCTTTATCTAATATTAGGTTTTGGTTGAAGATCTGATAACATTCAGTATAAAAAATATGCAAAAGTAGAGAAAATTAGAAAGGGGGTAAATACTTTTTCACGGCACTGTATGTGACAAAAGAAGCAAGTATCGTGTAGATAATCAGTGTACCGTCTAAACCGCTGTGAAATAGAGTACCAGTCAAAAGTTTGGACACCTACTCATTCAAGGGTTTTTCTTTATTTTTACTATTTTCTACATTGTAGAATAATAGTGAAGACATCAACTATGAAATAACACAGATGGAATCATGTAGTAACCAAAAAAGTGTTAAACAAATCAAAATATATTTTATATTTGAGATTCTTCAAATAGCCCCCCTTTGCCTTGTTGACCGCTTTGCACACACTTGGCATTCTCTCAACCAGCTTCATGAGGTAGTCACCTGGAATGCATTTCAATTAACAGGTGTGCCTTAAAAGTTAATTTGTGGAATTTATTTCCTTTAATGCTTTTGAGCCAATCAGTTGTGTTGTGACAAGGTAGGGGGGGGGTATACAGAAGATAGCCCTATTTGGTAAAAGACCAAGTCCATATTATGGCAAGAACAGTTCAAATAAGCAAAGACAAAAAGGACATGAAGGTCAGTCAATACGGAACATTTTAAGAACTTTGAACGTTTCTTCAAGTGCAGTCGCAAAAACCATCAAGTGCTATGATGAAACTGGCTCTCATGAGGACTGCCAGGAAGGAATGGAAGACCCAGAGTTACCTCTACTGCAGAGGACAAGTTCATTAGAGTTACCAGCCTCAGAAATTGCAGCCCAAATAAATGCTTCACAGAGTTCAAGTAACAGACACATCTCAACATCAACTGTTCAGAGGAGACTGTGTGAATCAGGCCTTCATGGTCGAATTGCTGCAAAGAAACCACTACTAAAGGACACCAATAAGAAGAAGAGACCTGCTTGGGCCAAGAAACAAGAGCAATGGACATTAGACCGGTGGGAATTTGTCCTTTGGTCTGGAGTCCAAATTTGAGATTTTTGGTTCAAACCGCCATGTCTTTGTGAGAGGCGGAGTGGGTGAACCGATGATCTCCGCATGTGTAGTTCCCACCGTAAAGCATGGAGGAGGTGTTATGGTGTGGGGGTGCTTTGCTGGTGACACTGTCTGTGATTTTATTTAGAATTCAAGGCACACTTCACCACAGCATTCTGCAGCGATACACCATCCCATCTGGTTTGGGCTTAGTGGGACTATCATTTGTTTTTCAACAGGACAATGACCCAACACACCTCCAGGCTGTGTAAGGGCTATTTTACCAAGAAGGAAAGTGATGGAGTGCTGCATCAGATGACCTGGCCTCCACAATCCCCCGACCTCAACCCAATTGAGATGAGTCGGATGGCAGAGTGAAGGAAAAGCAGCCAACAAGTGCTCAGCATATGTGGGAACTCCTTCAAGACTATTGGAAAAGCATTCCTGGTGAAGCTGGTTGAGAGAATGCCAAGAGTGTGCAAAGCTGTCATCAAGGCAAAGGGTGGCTATTTGAAGAATCTCAAATATAAAATATATTTTGATTTGTTAGTTACTACATGATTCCATATGTGTTATTTCATAGTTTTGATGTCTTCACTATTATTCTACAATGTAGAAAATAGTAAAAATAAAGGGAAAAACCCTTGAATGAGTAGGTGTGTCCAAACTTTTGACTGGTACTGTATATTTTCCATTGCCACAAATATTGTATTTTAAGCTGTTTGAAGCTGGTGTACAAAACCGAAAGTAAAGAGTCACAAAAACAACACTTAAGAACGGGACGCATAGAAATATAGTACAGATCTACCGCTTCTTAGACTTGCTTTCAATGAGAATGACAGATATATAACTCATATTCCTATGTGAATTTGGTCGGTCGCCCAAAAAGTTACATATTGCAGCTTCAAGTGATAAATTGGTGTTATTGGAAAAATTGTCCAATAAGCTCAATTACACGAATGGAAATCATTATTCGATTAACAGGCGTCTTTTAATTTCAATTAGCTAATAGCATTTCCTATTTTTCTTTCAGAAATGATCATTCGCTGAAATAAAATAGAACAATTTAGAACATTTTATAAATGTATATATTTCTGTCCCATTCTAAACCGTGTGTGCGCACGCGCCGCCTTGCACGTGTGTGTGTGTGTGTGTGTGCCAGAGACAGATTAACAAAAGTGTTGCCAGTAATTTCTTGCTTAACCTTCAGCCACTATTCAGGTGTATAAACAGAGGTCTGATGTACCTCTGACAAGGGTCGCGTTCCCCTGCTCGGACGTTACATTAATCAACCAATGTTGCAATGCCATGTCATCGACTGTCGGCCACCAGTTTGCTATAACATATGATGTGGTTAGCTGAGACGTAATATACCTATCAAGGCGTTGTAAGATCTGGCATGCGTCAGCAATGCCTGGGCATAGGAACACACCCTAAGTATGGTGTGCTGTGTGTGTGTTCCACCTCTGCAGGTGGGGGGGATCCACGTGAACCACTGGAAGCTGGACCTGAAGCTGGGTATCTACACGCTGGTCCTCTACGCTGTCTTCTTGTGTTTTTCCATCATGATCGAGTACAACGTGTTCACCTTCGTCAACCTACCAATGTGCATGGAGGAGTAGCCAGACCCTGCCCACCCATGCTGACCTCTGAACCAGGAAGCTCCATCCCCTCAACCTCAGACAGCAACCAATCACAAACAACCTTCTTCACCATCATCCACCACATTACTAAACCTCGTAACTGAATCTCCTGTCTGACCTTACCTTTCATTGTCATAACAGACCTGTTGACCTCTTGATCTGCTCCTTGTCTTTTAAATCTTTCTCTCCCTGTACTTGGACACGCTTTCCCATGAGGCTTTGTTCTGTGGAGTGGATGGACGCCTCTCCATGCCTCAAACGTCCTCCTCTCTCACATACAACAGACTGGACCCATTGTCAGACTAGTCTATTTTCCATTTACCCCCTCCCACTATCTCTAGTCTTACTGTGCTTTCATTAGCATGCCCTCAAAGGCTTTAGAATCAAGGGGACCCTACACTATTTACAGTCTCCCTCTCACAACAACCCACACATACCTCAGGTTAGGGTTAGTCGTAAACCCCAACATTGATCCTCCCCCTTTCTCCCACTCTCCCCAATCCAAACCTCTTCTCTTCTCTTCTCCTCCCCACCCCACACCACAGATCTACCCAAAGACCCTATGAAGAAAACACAACCTCACCTTCTCGCCCTAAATCTCTACCTCTCCCCCAAATCCTGCTTGTGCCCCCACCCTTTGGAGGAGGAACCTTTTTTGGCAGCTCTCCTACTCCTCTTTCTGGCCTGGACCCCTCTGACATGGTCCGAAATGTGATCGTTTCCTGTTTCCATATCACTACGTCCCACCCCTCTGCACCAGACACTCATCTTTCACTCCTCTATCTAGTCTACTCTTTTACTTTTCTCGATCACCTCTTAAGAAGGACATTTTGTCAGGAATCTTTGTGTCAAATGAGTCCGCGGTCAACTCAAAGCTGAGACTGTGAGAAGAGTGCATATGATGTATATTTGCAGCACTGCACAATGTTAAACTTGTAAACATATCTTTTTTTCTTTTCTTTTTGTATCATGTGGGTTTTAGTTTTTCAGAGTTTCAAAAGAACTATGAAATATGTTGAGGAGAGCTTGTTGCAATCATAAAGGACATTGCCTGTTTCACAGTAAGGAATTGCGCACTGAGAAAATGCTTTTCTTGTTTTTTGCTGTAAGGAGATTTGGCCCCCCTTGAAGGGATGGCGTCTGGCTGATGGAGGCGACTCTATAACCCATGTGCTGAAAGTTCAGCTGTTGTTTTTTTTTCTCGATCAGAGACTGATATCTCTCACACACCCTCCGACTGCAAAACACTAAAGAGAGAAACAACTCACTCAAGATCTTGGGGAGATGCGACAGATACGTCATATGAATGGGGGGATACGGTGTCCATATTAAGACATCTTTGGAATGGTGTCCATATTAGGACATCTTCGGACAGCAGCATGGAGAAATGTGTATTGTATCACAGATGATCGGAATCGGTCTGTTCTTCTCATCTCCTGTCTGCTCGACCCCCCCCCCCCCCCCCCCCCCCCCCCCCCCCCCTTTGACCACTAGGGGACAATGCTGCCCCCCACTCTGATTTATCTGTGCATGCCAGGGGTCACAAGCAACCACAGCCGTTTGGTTATCAGGGAATATTTGGAGCCTCTGAAGTTCCAGTAGGTGGCACCATTGGTGGTGTTCGCTCGATGTTAATTACATGTAGATATTGCACTTTAAAACAAGCAAAGCCGTCCTCTCATTCTGAATCAACTAGTGCTTCCTTTGAGTGTATGTACATTATGTGTGAGTGTGCGTGGGGGGCGGGGGGGCTCACGGGCTCACACCCGTGAGCCCACACCTGTCTCTGTCTGCAGTGCATTGTACTCACTGGGACTATAAACGCAGGCTCCTCCTCCGCGGTACGAACACCGATAAGCTGAGGGGCGTGTGCCCCCCCCCCCCCCCCCCCCACCCACCCACCCACTTTACAAAAAACGGCAGCTACAAGCTACTGCAATCTAAGACATTTGACATCATGCAAAAACGCCTGCGGGGACTGAGTCTACAATAAGCTGGAAAGACTTGCTTTAATAGGGGAGTGTTAATTATGAAAACATGTCTTTCCTTTTTTGTGTTGGCAGCAGGTACTTGTATATGCAATCTCAATGTTATGTGTTCTGTGTGTTGGAATCAGAAGGGCCCATATGGAGGATGCCATAATGTTAGGGGAACGTTTGAGCTTGCTTGTGTGAATGACAGCTGAGGAACCGAGCCAGAGGACATGTATGGGACGTTCTGGAATGGGGGATTCTGTGTGTGCGGGGGGTCCGACCCTCTTGGCACAAGGGCATTATTCAACCACCAACTCTTCCTGAGGAGCAGAGGGGAAGGACTCCAGCCGGGAAGCTGGGAAACACCCCCCGGCTACAGATGGTTTAGTCCAGCGTCCTCTGAACTTTCTGGAAATTCTCCTCCAGGAAAGATTACTTTTGTGAGATGAGATCTCCTCTGTGTGTGTGCGTGTGTGACGGACCTGAGTAGCAGACATTTTAGGAGTTGGACCCCTAAGCTGCTACCCCCGGGGGAGGTTTTTGACACTAGCCGCGTTCTCTTGGAAGGAGGTGACCACACAGGTCCTCAAGACTCTCGACCCCTCCTACTCATCACATCTCAATGCTACTCGTGTCGTGTGTCCCCCACCCCGCTCGACTATCAACTGATAGCAGTTACCCCACTGCACTGTATACCCCCCCAGTGGGTATTTTCCCCATAGAAGAGTGAAAAAGTATTCTCTACTAGTGCCATTTGGATCTGATTCTCATTGCTTTCTCATTGCTTTCTTCTTGTTAACGATTGTTGCATTCTCAATCTTTTCAGTGGTTGTTATTAACTGTACATACAGTGGGGTCCGAAATTATTGACACCCTTGATAAAAATAAATAATTCAAATACTGAGCTATATTGTATGCTAACAAAAAAGGGAAAAAATGCCTTTTTACTAATACAATTGCTCAGAGAAAGAGATTTTGTTTAACAAGCATTATTTTATTTCCTCAAAAAGGTAGGGGTCAGAATTGACACCCCTGTTTTCAATACTTCACCTTGTGAGGATAATGACACTGAGCCTTTTTCTAAAGGGTTGTATGAGTTGGAGAACACATTGGGAGGAATCTTAGACCGTTCCTACATACAGTATCCTTCCAGATCCTTGATATCCTTTGTCTGCGCTTATGGACTGCCCTCTTCAATTCAAACCACGTTTTCAATGGGTTTCAAGTCAGGAGACTGAGATGGCCATTGCAAAATCTTGATTTTTGTGGCCAATTAACCATTTTATTTGTGGATTTTTTGTGCTTGGGGTTATTGTCTTGCTGGATCATCCACTTGCAGCAAAGTTTCAGCCTCCTGTTAGAGGGAATCAGGTTTTGGGGGGTACATTTTGAACCCTACTATGTTCAGAAATAAAATGACTTGTTAAACAAAATCTCTTTCTCTGAGCAATTGGTAGTATATTAGTTTAACAGAATATATTTTCCCAATTATTTGTTTGCACACAATATAGCTCAGTATTTGAATTATACATTTTATACAGTCATTTTCGGTCATCTCAAGGGTGTCAATAATTTCGAACCTCATGGTACATATATCCTTTTTTGAACAGCTTTTTGGGTCCGCAGGGACAAGCATATACCTGAGTTGATTCAGAATTTCAAATGTTTTTTGGGGGTTTGTTGATTTTTCTTTGTACATTTCTGTTTGTTTTTGTTTGTCATTGGTTTTGAGCTGTGTGGTCGTGTCCTTGGTCCAATCTCAAATGGACCCCTAGAGCCTATGCCTTATACACTCTGTGGAGATCTTAGAGGGTTTGACACGCGTAAGCAATCAGTAATAGCTCCACATAGCCATCTAACGTCCAGGCTCTGTGAAGGTTTCACCAAATTGCGCTAATGGGGTTTTGCTCGATTTCGAGAGTTGGTTCTGTTTGGGTGTGGCTTGTCCTGATTGGAATCATCCTTGTTGGTCAGGATGTGTTGCACCTGTCACCTCGTTAGTCAGCCAATAGTTTCACCTGTGCTGGCACAGGGGATATTTAAGAGCCGCTGGCCCAGCGTTCCAGTGGAAATGACAGATGTTGGAAGAGCTATATGGCAAGTTAGCAGTGGAGGCTGGTGGGAGGAGCTATATTTATTTTGAGCAACGATTTTTGTTTTTTCATTGGGGAACTTTACAATACCAATAAAATCCTTGGATCTCCACAAGTGAATAGAGCATAGGGTCTAGGGGTTGCCTTGGTATTGGGCCCTCGTTGCCAGGTCCTGAGAGTAACAACAGCACAGCAACTCACACTGCTCCTACTGTTTGACTATCCTAACTCATCCAACACACACATCCACACATACCATCAGGTTATTTGCCACATACATTTATTATCAATCACTTTTTAAAAAGAAGTCGAATTCAGATACCATAAATGTCATAGCTCTGCATTAAAAATACATAGAAACCAAAAATACAAAATAAATTAGCACACACAGCCACATACACCCAAGGCAACATTTACTTAGTGCTAAAGAATTGTGAAAAGTGCAACAATTACCATAAACCTCATTATCAACCTGGTAGTTTGGGTCCTGAATGCTGATTGACTAAAACAGCATTCAGCCGTGTGTATATCAGACAATATACCACGGGTGTGACACAAAAATACTTGTTTACTGTTCTATTTATGTTGGTAACCAGTTTATAATAGCAATAAGGCACCTCGGGGGTTTGTGGTATATGGCCAAAATACCACAGCTAAGTGCTGTATCCAGCAAAAAATGCTGCGTTAGAAAGGATTACCTACACATACTGACCAGCTCATGTTATAGACAGAAGCGAACTCATCTCTCGGCATGCCCAGTTATTATCTCAGCCAATCATGGCTAGCGGGAAGGTTCCTGTCTTTTTCCGTGGCTAAACCAACTAGGCTCGTAATTTAATAATTTTATTCGTATTTACAGATGGCATACAAGTTTGTTATTAAGGCACATGTCCAGGCTCTGTCGTAGCCG